CGGGGGCAGCGAGATTGGGGGGGGACACTGGGAACACTGGGACCCGAGGCAGGGACTGGGGACACTAGGGGCACTGAGGGGCAGTCTTCCTGGCAAACACCGGCCGGTGTGAGCTGCCACTGCCCGTGGGCACCTTCTCCCATCCCGAAGAAAAGGGGGGGGCTCCCGGTGCCCCCCTGTGGGCCGGGACTTCCTGACTCTGGGAAGGTCGCGGGACAGGCGGCAGGCCTGGTGACCCAAGGGGCCCAACTGCCCCTGCAAGGGGCGCTTTGCTGCTGGGACCCCCCTGCCCTCGGCCTGCCAACCGAGCGGTGCTGGTGCCGGTCCCAGGGACAGTGGCAACGCTGGTGGCAGCGTCCGCACAGCCTTGCCCAACCCAAGGCCGTCACCGCTGAGCGAATACAGAGCCTAACTTGGCACTTCACAGAATCACCGAATGTTCAAGGCTGGAAGGGACCTCTAGAGATCACCTAGTCCAACCTGCCCGCTCAAGCAGGCACACCTAGGGCATGTGGCACAGGGCGGCATCCAGGCGGGTTTGGAGACCTCCAGAGAAGGAGACTCCCCAGCCTCCCTGGGCAGCCTGGGCCAGGGCTCTGGCACCCTCACAGGGAAGAAGTTCCTCCTCACCTGGAGATGGAAACTCCTGGGTTTCAGCTTATGCCCATTTCCCCCTATCGCTAGCCACCAATGAAAAGAGCTTGTCCCCTTCTTCCCTCCATTCTCCCTTCTTGAACTTATACATGTTAATCAGATCCCCGCTCAGCCTTCTCTTCTCCAGAAAAACAGGCCCACTCAGTCTCTCCTCATACGAGAGATGTTCCATTCCCTTAATCATCTTAGCTGCACTTGCAGCAAGGAGGGGAAAAAAAAGCAAAAGCGATGGAAGTAAATGGTCCCAAACGATGTCAGACACACGAGCACATGCAGGTGCCCACGCACAGGACACGCGGCGGGAGAGGCCACTGAAACACCGAGGTTTGACTTGATTTGCTCCACAGCCTGTTGGCGCTGCAGCCCCTCTGCAGTCTGGAATGTGGGGACCACCGCATCCGCCGCGGTCGGACCGGGGTCGGACCGGACCGAGCTTGGGGCAGCGCCTGGGAGCAGAGCCCCCGGTTCCCACCCCGGCCGCCCCCGCCAGGCTCCACGGCCACCGCCGAGCTCGGGGCGGCGCAGAGCGACTCTCAGCCCTTATTATATTTTAAAATGTAATAACGGCGCGAGGTCTATTTTCGTAGATGGAACGGATCATTTCTGGAAAAGGGCCATAAATCTCCGAGGAGGGAAACAATTTGGCCAAGGTCGTGCTAAGGCAGCAACTCCGTAAAGGGGGAAAACATGGAAGTGACGAGGGGAGCAGGCGAGAACCGGGAGCTCCGGGGCCGCCGGGAGGCCGCGGCCCGGGCGCAGCCGCGGAACCGGGGCCCTTCCCACAGCGCCGTCGGTCGCCGGGAGGGCTCCCCGCGCTCCGGGAGCGGGGCCCGGCGCTGCCGCCGCTCCCCTGCTGCCCTCT